ACAGTCATGTAGCTGATTATAATATCCGCTTGTCTTAACACAATTTTTACTCATCATATGGACACGTTTTTTTTGCACCCTGATACATGTACATGTAATTGTATGCAGCTGTAGCTAAAAATGTTTATAAGGAATATGCCCTTTATTCGAACATTTGCAAAAATGCAAAAACCTTGTCAATACAGTAAAACTCGGTTATAGCGAAGTCCTGGGGACCTGTTAATTTAATTCGCTATATCCGTAATTCGTTATATTCGTATAACGTATTCGTATAACCATTATAGCGAATTCGCAATATGCATGTTTTCCTTCAGGTATTACTACCAAATATGTAAGGGAAGCAAATATTACAAAACATATCTTCGATAACTAAGGTTTTATTATGAATTGAATTTTATATACAAATGCTAAACGGAAATAAAGTCATTTCAATTTATCAAACTTTTTTATAATCTTTGAAAGTTCGTTATAAAAAATGTAAATTTCATTATATTTAACCCAACAGGACTCAAAATCAGTTCGCTATATCCGTAAATTCGTTATATCAGAGTTCGTTATAACCGTAAAATTTTACAAAGATTTGTTAAGAATTTTGCCGGGGACCCAGAAAAACTTCGCTATATCCGTGAATTCGCTATATCCGTACAGTATATAGTATATATATATACTAAACGAGTTTTACTCTATCTTCCAGATATTAAAGAGAGATATAGATGTAGACACAGAAAAAAATTAAGCACTAAGGACTGCCTATTCAGGTTCACATACCCCTTTTTTACCGCTTTGAGATGGCAAAATTGAACTGCAATGCTTGTGAAACAAAATTAATGCGTACCTCTAAGCTATCAAGTGAATAATCTGATAATATATTTATCCCAATAATACAAACCTTTGGCGGAGCGAATCATTTGGTGAACAATATCGATCCCTGTGATACACTCTGTGATAGGATGCTCTACTTGAAGACGAGTGTTCATCTCAAGGAAATAAAAATTCTTCTGTGAATCCACAAGAAACTCCACAGTGCCTTTAATAGACAATTCCACACTATAAGATTTAAAATCTTAAGATTTACGTTTTTTGTTCATATGTTGCTTGGATTCATTGAAAACTGTTTGAACAAAGAGCAGGACCTTGGTTTATATTGTCTCATTTGAAGAACTATGTCCCACAAAGGATTTGAATCCATGAGTTAAGGATTACCTCTACTCTGTGTTTTTAAAGCACACCCTCTAAGTCTGAATTAAAACATAATTAAATGCAGTATCACTAACGTACCAGCTGAGGAGTATTTGACTTGCTTGGCCAGGGCAGTAGCCTGCTCTCCCATTCTCCTTCTCATGTCTGGGTCTACAAATGTGCTGTAAAAGAAATGTGTAATGAAACCCATGTGCACTGTATTAAACATTTCCATCCAAAAAAGGGGAAAAGGAAAGTCAAGGAAGTATCTAAACATTCTTACAGTGCGCTCAAGATGTGTCACACTTCAAGATATAATATTCCAACATATCATTTTACATAAGTAATGGATATTCTTTGATAGTATTACATGTACTCTAACATATGAAACAGCTGGTGTTCTTAATAAAAGATGAGTTGACAAAATGTAAGCTGCCTTTTATTACACATAACAAGTTTTGTCTATAAAGGTTATACACACCTTGGGGCCTCTTCAATCACTTTCTGGTTTCTCCTCTGAATGGAGCATTCTCTCTCATTTAACCACAGTGCATTCCCATGTTTATCACACAGAACCTGAAATAAATATTTTTGATTAAGTAATTTTCATAAGGATTTTAAGTAATTCATGTACATGTACAGCAAGAACCTTCTTAATGGTTTACCTCAATATCAGATTACATGTATGATTATTGGTACATGTATCTTGTTACATATAAAACATGTAAAATGAAAATAATACTGTTTTTAGCTGACTTGCTGAAGGTACTGTTTATAAATTTTCATAATTTTTTTGGTAGAAATTAAACCATTTTCATTTTATTTTGTAATAAAGCCAGACCAGGAAAGATGATCATTTACTAACATTATACCGTAAATCTGGAAATTTTTACGTCGATTTTATTTTGCGAATTCGGGTCAAAATGCTGTTGATTAATTTTTTCATTTCAAAATTTTGCGAATGACCACTGCTTTCTTTACATTTTCTTATTGGTAATTTATTTTTAAGAAAAATATTTTTGCGGATGCAATGAACTCGCAAATTTGCTAAAAATTTATCTACAGCAAAAATTTCCAGATTTACGGTATACATGTATACATGTTATGAACAATTATGGTACATGCTTCTGCATGCACATGAATTATAAACCAATGAAATTGCAATTTAGGGAAAACCAAGAAAGTTGATCCCCTAGAAAGTGAATGACACTTGGCATAGTGCATGTACCTTTTAAAGTTTGATAAATGAATTCTAACAGTGTAATCCTCCAACATACCTGCATTTCAATATGTCTTGGATTATCAATGTATTTCTCAATCAACATCCTGTCATCCCCAAAGCTGGAGGCTGCCTCCTGTTTGGACAAGCGGTAGGCATCTCTGTCAATTTATACATGTACATATATAGCCTGTTTTAATATTTCAAAATTCACGGAATACAACATTTGTGTGTTCTTTGGATTGAGAAGGTTTTTATATTCATCACTAGAATTTCATTTTAATCTAGCTCCTGTAGCTGTTAATTCATATTACTGTTCCAGATGTATCTGTTCATATGTCACTTATATTGTTTATGTCTATCTAAATATATCTTCTCTTCAGTCCACATATTCTACCTACTAGTAATCTATTCTATTCTACTTTTATTCAATCATATTATGTCCTCTTGACCTCATCACCTACATGTATACACTGATAAAGAATGCTTTTTTCATATATGTGTAAAAATGTATTAGTATATATGATTTCTAAATTCTTAAGTAGAATTTGTGTAATACTCTAATTTAATCTACTGTAAATACAGAGATATCCATTGGGGATCATATTTCTTTGGGTTGTTTTTTTTGATAACTTTTATCATAAAAATTCTTTTCAAACAAAATGTTAACCAGTAGATTGTTACATTATGTTTGTGTTTGAAACAATGGAATTCAATCCCTATGAAATGATCAAAGATCATATAGCAAGAAAATATTATCCCCATGATAATGTCTGTTTGTACAGGGTGTTGTAAACCTTGCTTCTTTGTCATTCCAAGCTATCCTCATTCCCTTTCCACCACCACCAGCTGAGGCCTTAATCATTACAGGGTATCCTACAACACACAAAAGTTAATGAAGTCTTACCCTACAACACAGATGAAAATCTCTTGACTTCTTACCATCACATTTATTCCTCTTATGTTATAATCAACTTTTGCTAGCTCTGGTGAGTTCATAATAGCAATAATTTTAAGGTGTCTATCTTCTGTATGCATATGGTCAACTTCATATACAAAACTCTGATTAGTAGCTGAAGCACAAAGAAGCAGCTCTATCTAGTATATAAACAATTTTTTTTTCCCTAATGTACATGGGAAGTGGGAATTTGAAGAAACATGCAAGTCTACATTAAGTGGAAATTTGAAGGGACACATAAGTGTCCTGCGAGGACACTGAGAAGTTTTGACAACTTATCGGCTCTAAAGAGAGCTTGAGGATTAGTGACCTTTTGTTATTCACTTCTCTGTTTAGTACTTGAATGTAATGAAAATGTCAGAGAAATTTTTTCATTTGAAAGTGACAACACTCATATAAACAAACAGACCACAAACCAAAATACAGTCATACCCTGTTATTTCAAACTCAATCAGACCAAGAAAAACTTAGTGATATCCAAAGAATTAAGATATAGAAGATAAAAAGTAGTAGAGACTTCACTTTGACTTCCATACATGTATACCTATGATATTTGAATCATTAAAGTTCAAGATACTTAAGTTTAACTATGTCTTATAAACCAATTGCAACAACCTGAAAGTACAAACCAATTTCATTGGCCAGTTTCACACCTTTAAAATGTACAAACCAATTTCATTGGCCAGTTTTACACCTTAAACATGTACAAACCAATGTCATTGGCCAGTTTCACACCTTGAACAATTAGTACAAATCAATTTCATTGGCCAGCTTGGCAATTAACTTAAACATGTACAAACCAATTTCATTGGCCAGCTTGACACAGTGTTCTCCATCTTCCACCACTCCATCATGACCTGGGATCATGTTGACCTTAGCTTTGCTGGCAATTCTCTTACTTTCTATCTTGTCTCCCATGGCTTTAATAGAGTGACTGCTAGGACCAATGAATTCTACTCCTATTTCTGCCTATATATAGACACATTAACATATGAAAAAAAAACATGTATAATTCCTTTTCATGTTTTCTGAGATTTCAAATTTCAGTATTAAATTGAATTGCCTTTATGGGATGAGAAATTTTAAAGATTCTACCAATTTTGCTGCAAAAACTGTATTTTCTGAGAGGAACCCATATCCTGGATGCACCTGAAAATTTAAAAAATTAAGATAATCATACATGTTAACTCTCCCGATTTAGGCGGGAGTCTACCGCTTTTTCACTCCATCTCCCGCCTACCGATTTAATTCAGAAATCTACCGCTTTTCTACAAAAGCTGCGTCTAAAGTATTTTTGGTTCGCTTGGGTATCCATTTTTGAAGCCACTCTCATAAAATCTCGCTAGATATCGCGTGATTTGACTCGGAATCATACAAACGCTTTTTTTGTACATAGATTTCAAGCACGGATTTGACAACGACAACAACGCAAGACTACCAGTGATTACATTGGTTACGATAAATTAATCAACATCCCTGCCATGAAAAAGGAGATACAGCTTTTAAGAATTAGATGAAAACATTTGACATCGTCTTTAAAAGCACAGAAGCTCACAACTTTATCAATAAAGTCAACAGAAATCACTCGATTGACCAAGCCATGTGGCACATCTCTACTTTCGTTTTCGATCATCGCGGGAAATCTGATTTATATAACGAAAGATAGGAACTTGTTTTAGATCTAGATTAAACCATGTCATCATTTGTTTTGTTTAAAAACTGAATGAACATTCAGAATTATTGCTTCTAGGCTATATCAGCAAAGATCACTCTTCAAAAGGCTAAGTAAAGCAGCCAATCCAAGCAAAATGATGAGCATGAAAAATATTTGAATTTGTACAATTTATGTCAAACTTAAGGTGTTTCTGTCTTCTTCTTTGCTGTTGATATTTAAGATTAATTAGTGTAGGTACCTGATTTCATTTAAGGCTTATAATATACATGTATATTACATGAAAGATATCAATAATCCAAGCGTTAAACAACACGCGTGCAATGCTACCGCTTTTGAGGTCTGAATCTCCCTATTTTTCATCACAATACATGTAGGTTAACATGTATGAAGATAATACATGTAGAATGTTCTGTGGTAAGGGTGAGACAACCATAATTTCTTATTAATTTTTTTTAAATGGGTACTTACAGCTTGCGCTCCTGTATCTTTGACAGCACGGAGAATGGCGTCCATGTTGAGATAACTCTGGCTGGTGGGAGGCGGGCCCACACAGATGGCTTCATCAGCCAATCGGGTGTGAAGCTAGAATAGAATGAAAATGAAATGGTCTGTCACTGGTGTACATAAGATCACGTATACATGTGTCACTTCCCAAGAAATAACTAAATACCTGAAAATCTACTTCTATTTTGACAAAATAACAGTTTTGTCTTCATTTCATTGCAAAATGCATTTCATTTTAAATATCATACATGTACATGTACTACAATGAGTGTCATTATCCCTTTTTTTTTTTTTACTATTTACAATCACGGTGCCAACAGAGTAAATTAAACCTCAGTGCCTCTCAGTATTTCTACAGTGTCCACAGTGAAAATCTCAGTGCTACTCAGGGCTACCTCAGTTTACTCAGTAGCAGGCTCAGTACCATAGTGCCACTCTAAATAAGGATGAAATAATTTTTTGTCCTATCAAATTAAGCATTACTTAAATGTTCATATACTTACAGACAATGAATCTGCCTCACTATGAACTGCTACAGTTTTGATTCCCAGTCTCTTACATGTATGAATCACACGACAGGCTATTTCTCCACGGTTTGCGATGAGTATTTTCTCAAAAACCTTCAAAGATGAAGAGATTGATAATATCTTGGTCTTGTGTTTTAAACAAAGTCTTTTAAAAAGTGATTCATTGAAATTTAGTTCATCTCTACAAATTAAGCAGAAATTTAATAAAGATACATGTTGTTTCATTAGCAGCTACATACTTTTCTGTCAAAATCTTGAAATGCACTTGTTTACTTATACTCCCTATGCCCCAAGGGAAGCATGAGGCCAACAAATGCCTATACTTGCTTGCTTACACCCTCCATTCTCCATGCACCATGGGAAGCATGAGGCCAATGAAATGCTAGCACTTGCTTACCTATTCTCTTCATGTCCCAAGGGAAGCATGAAGCTACTGAATTGCTAATAACTACTTTTAGCATAGCATATCTCATTATAAAACGTTTGTACATTTCTACCAGTTTTTACCTCTTCTCCTTCATTATACTTGTCATTCCAGTAGAGGTTTTTCAGCTTCGGTGCAGTGGTGTAAATGCTTCTCTTACATTCTGCAGGCTACAAAAGTACAAAATCATTATATTTAATTGGGAACATTGAGAATTCATAATAAAATAGTGACTGAATTACAAACATAAAGATGAATGCCTATATTGGTGATAATCATAGAGTTTCAGGCTTTATTTTTGCTGTAAAACTTGTTTCAGAAATGTTGGTATGGCATCCTTGTCCTATATTATTATTTAAATCCTGTATCAGCATTTTTAAAGACAAAAAATATTTTTGAAAAGTCTGAAAAATCCATGCCTCAAACTGATATGCTATGAAGTTAGCTGCAGAACTGTAGCTCTCTGCTTGAAAAAATTTGGACAGATAAAGCAGAGAGCTACAGTTCCATGCATTGTAAAAATCTTCGATTTACGCCGACGATTTTTCGTCGCTCACTTCAGGTAATATTTATTGTAGTTTATGCTTTTTTACACTCTTAGAATGTTATCCGATAATTAATCATATATTTTACTCCAATTATTGATACTTTATTTACCTTTCAACAGTTCGAAAAAGTCCTGTATATAGTTTCATAATGTCATTTTAAAAGAGTTCCATTTCAATGTTCGTAACCACAAACAGCCATTTGTTAGCATTGACAGGTAAGTATATTATAAGGAATTGAAGTTAAATGTATGATTAAGTATTAAATACCATTTTTAAAGCTGGGGAAAGTATAAAATACAAGAAAAATACCAGAAGTGAGTGACAAAAAATTGTCGGCGTAAATTGAAGGTTTTTACAACGCATAGATTTGTAGCTCTCTGCTTTATTTGTCTGAATTTTCTCAAGCAGAGAGCTACAGTTCTACAGCTACTTTGAAGTGTAATTTTCCCAACATTATTTGATTATGACATTAATGTAGGCTTAATTTATATTTTGCTTAGCAAAGTACAAAATAGGCTTACATTATTGTTTGCTACATGCCTGAGGTACTGGACCTTTACGTGCATGCTGGTGTGTGATTTTTCTATTTCATTTACTAATTTGTGCTACAGTACTTCTATTTTATCTGCTTATTTATTTGTTTATTACATATGTATAAATAGAAAATAGAACAGATGCCAACGTGCCACAGGCAGAACATACTAAAGACCTGATATACTAATGACCTGATATTTGACCTGATGAAAAAATATTTCCATTGCTAATTTTTTTCTCTATGATAACTCTTTGAAAGTTAGCGGAGTTTATTTCTTGATAATTCTGCCGGAATGTAAATTAGGCAGGTCGATAGGTCAGGAGCTAAGGAGGCCTAATACGCATGCAATTCTCGTGCGCATCTGTCTCTGTGTCTGACGCTAAGGAGGCCAGCTATGCATGTAAATCTCGTGCGGCTGCATTTGAGTTTGACGTCAGTGGGCGAGGACTATTGTAATTGGCATGGGAGTCCTCGTGTAACTTAAATTTATGTCTACATTTTTAAAGTCTAAATCTACAATTTTATTTCACAATGAAATGGAAATATAAGGAATCACTGTCTAGTTAGTATAGTATGCCAGGGACATCAACAATATTGGGAAACATGGGATAATTTTAGCATAACGGGCTTTGCTCGTTATGCAAATTATCCCATGTTTCCCACTATTGTTGATGTCCCTGGCATACTATACTAACTAGACAGTGATTCCTTAAATATATCATATAAATTATCATTTTAAACATTACATTTCATATTTCTGGGGCAAGAGTATTAATGATAGTAACTTATACAATATTAAAATACACTTTTAGTGGATACTATGTAGATTTTTTTTTATATGTATTAAGGTATATTCACAAAACTTGATGACCTGATATTTTCAGCAGAGACATATATGGTTTTATATGTCTCTGTTTTCAGTCACTGTCTGCTTTTATCTTTTTCTAGCATTTTTACATACAATTACGTCTACAAAGTTTCGATGAAAATATACAACATAAAACAAGTCTACAGCTCCTGATCATACTAATAAGCGAAATATATTTTTTTATGCGGCCGGATAGTGCACTTAGTTTCTACACAAAGTTGAAGGACATTTGCATAGCTTAGTTGGCGTGCAACTTTTAAAGCACTTTGCATGAACAAAGCATGCAAAATAATAAAAGTGTGATCAAATATGAAAATAATAAATCAAAAACTTCTGAAATATACACCTGACATGTTGATCTAACAGCCTGCACACCACATAATCGGAGCGATCTCCGAAGTCTTAACACCGTCGTCGCCATGTTTAGTTGTAGCTAGTTCACTCAAAATCTGATCATCGGACAAAAACGGATAGGTCTCCATTGGATCAACGGCCCGATCAGTTCGATATAGGAGAGACAAAATAGATAATTTCATGAAACCATATTGATAAGGAAAAACGCTCTAATAATCTTAATTTTTAATCCTGTTTGTGTTCCGACGATGAAAGAAAGCATTTCCCTTTTTTAAAAATTATTTTTTACATTTTTATTTTTTTATTTTAAATAATTATATTTTCAGAGAGAGAGAGAGAGAGAGAGAGAGAGAGAGAGAGAGAGATATCAAACATTTACATTACATATACATTCAAGATATTTACTTCTATATTAATTCCTCTAATTTTTAGAAAAGTTTGAAAATCCATTTTTATTTATGATTACATTAAGTTTTGCACTGGGGCGATTTTGGTCAAATATAATTTTTTTTCTCTCTCTCTGAACTCTCCTTAGATTTTATGCAGTAACCAAGTTATCTTTTGGAATTTTATTGTTAGTGTCCGAATATCAATTATTATTATTAGGTTTCAGGATTTTCATTTTCACCCTAGCGGCCATATATGAGAGTTGAAAACTTTTTCAAATTAATTTTTTTATATTTTTTTTCACAGTACATGGTTGGGATTGACCTGTAGATTTTTATATAAAATCATGTTCTATAGATATAACTTAAGTCAAATCGTCTTTGTATGGTGTTCTAGGCCCGTAGATATTCAATAACTTAAGATTTTAGAATTTTAGTTTTCAACCGGCGTGGGTGGCGGTTCAAAAATGATACTTTTTGTTTTAAAAAAAATCCTAAACCTTTCTTACATTTTCAGTCCAATCATATTATTAAACAAGATATTTTCTTTTTTCCACCCCCCCTCCCTCCCCCCCCCCCCCCCCCCCCCGTTCTTTGTGCCTTCCAACAAAATATCCGTGATTCCGATAAGAGGGAATTTAAAACATAACTTCATTAACCTAAGTCTAAAAAATACTTTACGCTGACAGAAAAATTAAATATCAGCTAATCTTTTCTGCCTATTAAACTGCAAGTCATTTAAATGTCCACCCGATAACTGGAACTGACCACGTAAATCTACGTTATAATTTCCATAGGGACTTGATACTGAAGCTTTCTTCTTCCAAGTTTAGTTGGTATATTCATTTCTTTGTGACCCCCAGTTTTTTAACAGTTACATACATGTACACAGGCACCTGAAGTTACTTATTTTTCTTTTAATAAAGCTTTTCTAGAGCTTACTGGCATACATGTATTGTCAAGTTAATAATTAAATTTTACGGGTTTCTTTGAGCTTTTTTGTCTATTTCATTGTTTCAAAACAATGTATTTTCCAATAAAAACTTAAAGTTTAATGAACCGTGGAAAACAGCAATGATTACAATGTCTGATTTTTTTGGCTTACTGGCATACATGTACATGTAAATGTAAAAGACTAAAACTGTTATATTTGGAAATGGAGGAAAAATTTGTGATAATGAAATGTGGAATTTGAATAGACAACCTATTGAGATTGTTGAAAAATTCATTTACTTGGGACTGCTTTTAAATTATAATGGAAAATTTAATATCACACAGAAGCAACTATCTACACAAGGTAGAAAGGCTATGTTCTCTTTAAAAGCTAAAACGAGTGAAATGTATTTGAATACAGAGACAATGCTCTCGTTGTTTGACACTTATGTTGCTAGTGTTTTAAACTATGGATGTGAAATTTGGGGTTTTCATAATGCAAAAGATATAGAAAGTGTACATTTGCAATATTTAAAATATGTTCTAGGTGTAAGAAAGAATACAAACTCTGTAATGATTTATTGTGAAACTGGGAGACTGCCATTGAAGGTAGTAAGGTTACTTAGAATGATCAATAAAATTTTGGTTCAAGGTGTTAAAAAGTGAAAACTGTATTTTCTTAGCCTGTTACAATATGCTACTAGATGAATGTGAAAAGAGTAAGAAAAATATAAATAATTGGGTAACAAATATAAAAGAAAAATTGTTTGAAATTGGGCTAGGAGATGTTTGGTATAGTCAGGAAAGTATTCAAAAGAAAACACACTTCCCAATCATTATACAGAGGATTGTAGATATTTTTATCCAAACAAGTTTTGAACAAATAAATTGTTCATCGAGATGTAAAATTTATAAGCACATCATTGACAATTTTTATCTCCAATATTACTTAACAAAAGCTATTCCTACTAATTATAAGAAGCAATTAATTGTCGTCCCATAACCTAGCTATTGAAAGCGGTAATCACAATAATATACCAGAAAATGATAGATATTGTGAAATGTGCCATTTAGATATTGAGGATGAATTTCATTTTATTTTAAAATGTCCTCAATTTAATGATATTAGATGTCGATACATCAAGAAATATTACTGGAAAAAACCTTCAGTTTTCAAATTAATACAGCTGCTTAGCTAAAAAACTTTAAGGAACTGTGCAATTTAGGTATTTACCTCCACCATGCTTTCGGAGTACCTGAAAGCGTCACAAAATCATTTTCTGTCTAAAGTGTATGTATAAACTCTATATTGTTTAAGTTTGTTACTATCTACCATTATATACTACATATGTTTATATTACCATGCCAAATAATCTATTATTTGATGTTTGTTATATTTACTTAATGCTATAAGATGTATGTCCTGGGCAATAAAGATTATTATACAATTATTGCTGTTTTTTAGGTCAATACGATGATTTAGACACCTGAGGAGTACAATATTCACTGAGCCCGAAGGGCGAAGTGATTATTGTACTTCGAAGGTGGCTAAATTATCGTATTGACCGCAAAAAACAGCAATAACTGTTTTATTATATGATTAAATGATAGAAAACTCCTACAAGACTGTTTCTTTGCTTTAATTGAAGTTTTAACAAGAAATTTCAACAAGAACACATTGTAACAGAAAAAAATGAAACAAGTCAATAATTCCTTATATTGACCTGCAATAATTCCTTGTATTGACCTGGAACGTCACGTGTAGGTCAATACAACGTAGTATTTTTCTAATATAGTTGGATCTCAGCCAATCAGAGAGAAGGAAATTATTCAATCATATAATAATATTTATTATTCATGTATTGTCAAGTTAATAAATTTTACGGGTTTCTTTGAACTTTTTGTCTATTTCATTGCTTTCAAAACAATGTATTTTCCAATAAAACTTAAGGTTTAATGAACCCGTGGAAAATGATTACAAAAACAGCAATAATTACAATGTCTGATTTTTTTTTTTTTTTTTGTTAAATTTAATGTTCTTATTTAATAGCAAAGTCACGATGCGGAGAATTCAAAATAAAATATTAATATTTCGATGTCGATAACAACAAACAATTATCGTTATTAACGACATTCCTTTACTAAAAGAAATGCTTTGTTAGAACACAAGTCCCCTGTTTGTTTAAAATACAGTTTATCAGTCGATTTTTTCAGAGTTCGAAAGGTGCATCAGGCATTGGACTTCAGAGTCAAACAAGTTAAGGGAGGAGCTACTATATGTATCTGCTCGATAATAAATCAGTTAATGAATTTATTTTTCAGCAATTCAGTTATTTGTCGAACAAAAGAGAGATTTAAAAAATGAAATTCAATCAAATATATATATATATATATATATATATATATATATATATATATATATATATATATATATATATATATATATATATATATATATATATATATATATATATATATATATATATATATGATGTACAATAAAAAAAGGGGGGTGGTATTGTGGAGTATGAAAAAATAATTGTCCACAGAAAATGATTTGTTAAACAAGTAAGTCAACTCGCGGCTCGCTGGTATATATGACGGAAGCACTGGTACTTGTGGACAGGACCCCCCCCCCCCCCTCCCCCCGATGCCCAACCCCGAGAGAGAGAATCTTATAATGTATAGTGGGGTATATTTTGTGGAGCGATTATTTTCGGGTTTTTACGATTTTTTTCTATCGTAAACATGATGAATAAGTGTAATGAATATAATTTTTGAAAAAATGTCCACTAAGCCTCGGGGTTGAATGTCGGGGGGGGGGGGGGGGGGGGGTCCGGTCCACAAGTACCTGTGGATGGAAGACCATCCCCTTTTCTTCAGACCTTCAGACAAGCAAGCTACAGATCTGCAGTTAAAAAAACACTGCAAGAGACATCTTTCTTTCATGTTCGGGGTCATGCAACCTTAACTTTATTACCCAGTCTTTCCTCGTTATTGGGATTTTTTTCTCATTTCGTTATTTTAAAATTCACACGTAGATTGGAGTGTTTTTCTTAAATATCTGAAAACTACGAAATTCAATAACGCTTATTAGTATACTTTTTGTATTATACAAAAAATATAATTGAAGCTCTTTTAAAGTTTTTTTTTCAGATTTCATTGGCCGAAAGAAAAAGATCGAAAATAATAAAAACTTTAAAAAATCGATTTCAATCTATTCATGTTCAGCATCTATATTAATGAATAATAAATCCGTAATGTTTCCTTCCTCTGAGCAATTACTTCATTTAAATTTTCACCATTGAAGGAACAAGTAAATTTTAAAACCCATGAAATGCCAAGAATTCTAGAAGCAATTTTCACATTCTTCATGTTAATTGGGGGTCTAAATGCCGTTGGAATTTTGGTACAGAATAAAATCTTGGACGTTCCGGTTATGGCAACCTATAAAATTATTGGTTTGAAAGGTTGTGCCAAACAATGCACAAAACGCAGTGGTCGGTGTCTTGCATTCACTTATCAGAAGCAGCACCTGCTCTGTAATCTTTTGGATACCACCTCTGCTGTAGCTCCGGACAAATTGAAGGCAAAAGAAGGATTTATTTACAGTGAAATAAACACTTGGGCGGAAGTAAGTTTGCACTTTATAGAAGGTACAATTTATCAAAATACTATAGTAAGTACTATAACGATAAAAGAAAAAAATGAACGTTCATATAAAAGGCCTTATGGAAATAGCGAAAATACATGGTGGTACATGTATGGGTGGTTGTTGGTAATGATTTTATAATAAGCTTCACATTTATTTTGTCTTATTAAATTTGAAAGCTTTGATTATGAAAGAGCACGGGGTTAGTTTCAAATCCCGTTTTTTACAGGGTGATTTTTAAACAAGTAAAGGTCTCAGTTTTAATAAAAGTTGAACATCAAAGGCAGTTTTCAATTTAATTATGATCATTTTTATATGATCAAAATGGTTGCAATATTTCCCAGTCAGTGACCTCATTTGGTTTCTGAACTCCCATATGGCTTAAATTCTGAGGTCATTTGAAAAGTTTGTGTCCTTGAAAGATGCATGGTTTTCATAGAGTACTTTTTTTTTAATCGTATACATTACTATAAATGATTTTGGGGATTTTCTGCAGTTTGCATACTTCAGGTAAAAATTGTCCTTAGATCCATTTTTGGAGAAAAATATCGATTTTTGAAGATATAATCAAAACTTTAATGAAAAAATAACGAAGTTCATTTGATTTTGTTTTACCTGTGTACAGTGTATCATTTATTTTGCCGGTGTAAAGACGAATAATGACCCCCATCGAATAATGACCGGGGGTCATTTTTCGACAGCGAAAAATGACCCCCGGTCATTATTTGACGTAGAAAAATGACCCTTTTGCCCGTAGAAAAAGTGTCACAACCCTAAAAATTTGCAGAACCCACGTGAAGAAAAATGACCCCCGTAGAAAAATGACCCCCTGTAGATTAAAGCTAAAATTCTTGGGGGGGGGGCAAAAAAAAAAATTAGATAAAGAAGCATATTGGCCAAAATGCTCACCTGAACTAATTGGGAATAAATTGATGATATGTTGATCTCATAACATTATACAATTATAGCTATATTTTAAGGTCAATGCAATGATTCAGAATCTAAAGGAGTAAAAGATTTATCAAGCCTTAAGGGTTAGGTAAACATTGTTTTTTGATTGTGGAAATCATCGAACTGACAGAAAAAATCAGCAGTATTATATATTATCATATCCTCCGCTTGAAAAGCGGGAGGGTATATAGTAATCGGGATGTCCGTCCGTCTGTTACGCTTTTAGGTATTCATCTCTTATCCGCAAATCCTCATATAAAAAAAAAGATGTGTTTGTGAAACAGCTATGTCCCTGTATGGCAACCATAGCGAAGATTAAACTTTTCTTAAATGCAATTTAAATATATTGTTATCCAAAGTAGGGTCTTCTCACAAGAAATACAACTGCAAAATAGGAAAGCCCTAGCACCACTTGTTCAAAAGTAATGGCTAAGGATAAGTTTTTGAAAGGTAGGTCAAACTCAAAGGTCAAAGTTGATGATTTCTTAAGAAAATGTTTAATGTAACAAGGATTACATATGTGAAGTATGAATACCCTAGCCCTTACCGTTCAAAAGTTATGGCCAAGATTTTAAAAAATCATAAGTACGGAAATCTCCAAGGTCAAGGTCAAAAGGTCAAATTTGGTGGTATCCAAAGTAAGGTCTTGTCACAAGGAAAACACATATTAAATATGAAAGTCATAGCTCCAATAAATGAAATGTTATGGTCAAGGTTAAGGTTTTTGCTGACAAACAAACCGCCAGATAGACAGACGGACATACATACGAACACGATAAAACTACATGTATATACCCCCGAATCTTCGATTACGGGGACATAAAAAGAAATGGTCTTCAATAAACTTTTCATATTATGATACATTATAAAGAAGACGTTACAACAATAAAAATATTTGTTCTGATTTTCATATTAAATTCTCTGAAAAATATACTCAGAACTGAGTTAAACAGAACAGGCTGTGAAACTTGGTATGGTATTTACATACTGCGACTTCACATTTTCAAATATTTTTAGGGGTACTTGTCATAAAGGGAATATGAAAAATCACAAAAATACTTCTTCAAACATCGTCGTTTATAAACTTTATTAAGTAAATAATATTAAACAATATTTTATCAAGAATAATTTCTTTTTTATTCAATGAACATAAAAGATAAGTCCACCATTAAAAAAAATAGTCAAATGAACTCTATTATTTTTAGTCAATTATGCACCCTACATTTGTAAATATTTTGTCTTTGTCACAATGTTTTCAATCTTTAATATGATGAATAACATAGCCAAATGATTACAAAAAGTGATTAAAATATATACCTTTCCCCTCTAACTAATGAAAGGTAGGCTATTTATCGATACTCATATTCTTGACCTTTTTGCACTTACATGGGATTTAATAATTAAATGACTGTTTGGGGTTACTTTCAGATTAAATATTTCTCAAAAATTGTACCTTTACTTTAAAAAGATCATATTTAATAGAAAAATTGTAATCAAACACCAAGAATATGAATATGTAACAAATAATTGTTAAAAGGAATGCACATCATTTCATTATAGATATCACAAAAATGTACACACGATCAAACGATCTACAACGCGTACATCTTTGACTTAGACACATTTTATCAAAATATTACACTATATAGCTGGCAACTAAAGATTTATTACGATTTATGCATTCCTTCAAAATGGTTACATACCATTCAAATTATTACGAAAGTTGTATATGTACATTGTAATTTCATTACACTAGATAGTCTTGGGTTTGTCAACTTCAGGTCTAGAACTAGTAAATAAAAGGTGCCTACATATATTCTCTTATTCCAGAAATATATTGCCATTAAGCATTTTAAACCAAAAATATATGAATTGAATTAAGATTATGTTGGCATGATTGAATTCTGTGAATATCAAAATGCAGTTTTTTCTACCATTTCTATTGAAGCTGTCAAGTACGGGAAAAAGTGGCATTGGATTAATTATGACGTCTTAATGGGTTAGCACAGGTTAAACAAATTTACCATTTATGATGTCATACGAAGTAGGTTCTACGTTAATTAAAAGATATGTAATGAATACTGTGTGCTAAATCAAAAGTTTATGTCTACATGTATAGTTTTTGCATTAGAATGACTGCGTATTTTACACTAGCCCATAGCTTTACAGAGCATATTTTTAGGTCTTATACTTACCCCACCCCCTTTCTTATTTAGGAGGAAGTCGATATTGAACAAAGGCAAAAAAAAACACCCTACCTTTATATTTCTATAAGAAGGAATTAAAAAAAAAGCTTTAAATAATCTACTATTCTACTAATTTTTAACTGTTACTTTGCCACAATACTTTCAAGTATACCTCCACCAACATTTAAAGTATGCTTTAATCATGGCGAAGTAAATTGTGATATGATAGACGTACTTGTGTGAAGGCTTAACTTCATTTCAATATTTTATCTAGAGCCTCTTTCAGATTTATTGAAAGGTATAGAGTTTTATTTATATTTTTGCTTTTCATTGATTATTTTATTTTTATTTTTATTTTTTGATTTAACGTAATGTTCTTTTTTTTTTGGGGGGGGGGGGGGTAAAAATTTCCTCCTCTTTCATTGTCAAATAGGATTTGCCAAAGTTAAACAAGCTAAAAGTTAAAATGACAAAAAATTTAATTTTTCATATTATAGAGTATTTAAACCTGATTCTTGCATGGTTTGATTTCTAAAAACAAGTGGAATATCATTCTTTAAGCAAACATTATAAGGTGGAATATTAAAAAGAAATTTTATTTACTTGACAATTAAAGAATCTCTTTTCAAACACAATTTAAGCATTGAAAGACTACGTGAATCTCTTATTATTTCATACGACTTTTTGTATTTTTCTGGTTACAGAAAATGTAAAAATTAGTTTCGCTGTAAAAAAAGATATCAAAGAGTGTATATTTTGTATCACTTTAAAGGGGGTCATTTTTCAATGGGGGTCATTATTTTATAGGACTAACATATAAAATAATGACCCCCTAGGACTCTTTTTCTACAAAAAATGATTTTTTACTACGGGTGGGGGTCATTTTTTGTCGTTGAAAAATGACCCCCCGGTCATTATTCGATGGGTGTCAGTATTCGTCTTTACACCGGAAATGTACATGTTGTATTCTGTCTATTACTTTAATATTATGTTTATATGTAATTATATATGTTATATGTTTATGCCTAATGGGCCCTGATTGGTAATAAATTCTATTCTATTCTATTCTGTACTTTAAAATACGGTTTTCATTTTGTATGCATTATACAATATTGTGCAACAATATAGAGATAAAAGTCGGGACATGTTTGTTGAAACATTACTTTAGATCATTTCAGTTCAAATATTCTCTCTGATCAAACATAGATTATGTGAACCATTTTTGAAAAATAGACTACCCATGCAGGTAGTTCGATGTCTGGAGATAATCAACATTAAATACATCGCATAAATGAATATCGACAACAAATGAATAAGTTATTTTAATCCATTTTTCAGATATCTTTATTCTTGTTTCTGTTGAAGTTCGAATTTTTAAAAGATACTTGCACATTTCTAGGATCTTGGAAAATGTAAAACAGTCAACTGTCCAGTTGGTAAATCGTGTTTAGAACTGTCATCTGGGAAAACAACCTGCCAATTTGATCCGACAAGTAAGCTCAACTAAAAATTGTTAATATGGATAAAGCTTTCTAAGTCTGTTAATTAATTGTTTGTTTAAAAAAGTAAAATACATACAGCATTGTTTTATCATTCATTTATTTTTAAAACATGGTTTTGATAAGGCGACTCGCTTTCGTTACGGTCTCAGTTGATCGGTGATTTCTCTATGTCTATTTTTGTGACAGGCTGTCCAATGGGAACATTCTTTAACGGCAGCGACTGTCCACTTTGTCCCGAGGGAGAATACCAACCTCTCAGTGGTCAACAGAACTGTTCCATTTGTCCAGAAGGAGATGATGGGCCTACATGGAAAATGTCCACCATCACTAGAACTGTTTGTCAAGGTTAATAAGATATTTTTAGTTCAGCAGAGAAAAATTCTGATCAAATGACAATTGATTCTGTTTGTTTGACTGTTAAGTCTTTGTTACCCAAAGGCGGATCCAGCGTCTCCGGACCCCCTCTAAGGCTCTGCCCGGGACCCCCTGGGTGCTTCAATGCAGCCCCAAACCCCCCAGCTTTCTACTGCATGCGCCCCCTTGATATTAAATTCTTGGATCCGCCGCTGTTACTGTAATTGTTTTTTTTTTGTTTTGTTTTTTTTTTGTACTGTCAATTAAAGATATTGTATTTCTCTCCGGAACTGTAAGTCTTTTCAAACTAAACTTTCTAAAGAATATGCTTGAGCTAATGATAATTAATTACGAGGAAATTAAATCTATAAGTCTTTTTCAATTCAGAACATTGAGTTATTATGAAGGACCGTCAATTAATTCGCTAATGAAATATATTTTCTAGAGGTGAAAAACTAAGATTTTGTAAATATGCAATTATTAATTTTAATTTCTACATTTTTTTTTAATTATTTTCAACAAAGGGTCCAGCCATTCAATTTACTCCCAGAAAAAATCTTTAAAGACGATGAAGTATTAGGATTGTTGCTTATGAAGAACACATTGCATGTACAAGCAAATAGTGTTTAATAAATATATCGATAGCATATAAAATGTTAAAATTGCTTGAATTTATTCTAAATCGAGAAATATCTGAAGTTTCCAATTTATTTTGCTCTAGATTTGAAGATAAATACTTTTATTGCATCAATATAAAATGATAAAATAAAATAAAAATACCACAGAATCAGAACTCTTTTAACAGTGCGTATAATTCAGTGTTATGCAATGCATCTCAAAAAGGCAAGTCAGCATGAAAGAATTTTCCTGCACTGTAAATTGACAGTTGTGAAAACAACATATACTATGGGTAGAGGAATGGGATTCAAGTAAATTTTAAACGTATATTTTAACTTGTCCGTGATAAGAATCATCACTGGAAAAAAATCTTTTCAGTCTGGTATTGTCGTCATAAACTCGGATATGAACTATTAAATGCAGGAGACGCTTACTCCTCTATAGCACCTGATCCCACCTGTGATGCTTTTAGAGGTCATTGTTTGCTCCGTTTTCGATTGAGGTTCGTTATCTCCTTATTTCATCGAATATTATTTGTTATGGAATGGATACGAGGGAAATGGCAAATTTATGATTCCCCTCGGTAGGAATTAGTTTCCTGCGAGGGGAACCATAAATTTGCTATTTCCCGAGTTCCCATTCCATAGCTGTTTTATTTTACCGAAACAATCATGGCGAAATCTTTATTCTTTTTACCAGATATTCCGATATTAAAAAAACACTATAGAGGCATAATCACAATTGCATGCGGTTTAAAGGATTGTATGATAACTAATGCATCGTGTCCGAGAACATTAAAATTATTTTTAGAAAGTATTTTCACAGACATTTCGAAAAATTATAAAATCGTTGTCTTCATTTTGCTAGAATTCAAGTATGATTTTGAAATCGCATGTCGAAATGTTTTGACGTCATAGTTACATTACAGACTCCAGATTCCTTGAACGCTCCGCCCACTGAACACTTTGATTGGTCAAAATTCCTTATAAGTATTCATGAGGGAGTAGTCCCAGGGAGTAGCTCTGATTTTCCAGGGAGTAGTCCTCAGATGAGGGACATAGTCTCTTCTCGGGGAAATAGGCGGTTTTATGGTATTGATTTTATAAAGAGTAATTACAGTAGAGGTATAATAAATGAACATATAGACATATAAAGCTATACATTTTACTTTTTTGCAGGTTGTTGGTATGGGATCAATACTTACACAGAAGGAGATGACACGAAGCTGATCTCTACACACACTGTAGCTGACCGTGGTGAATGCTACACCCTCTGTAAAGCCAACTCTAACTGTCTTGCAGTTAAAAGCACCCAGTCCAATACAAAATGTGCCCTCTTCTCCAGCAAGACATGGAAATATGGCTACGTTCTAGATTCTGTCGTCATTCTTGTCCGAGGCCATTGCAGACCTTAATACGATATCGTGACAATTATGAAATATTTTGAAAATATAACAATGCTGTTTAGTACAATTCTCAGTCAACCTTGGACTTTCAGTAAGGCATGACATTCTCGGCGTTACATAATTAGCGTTTGAAATTTACACAGCTATCATTCACTGTTGAAATATACAAGGGATAAAAATTTGGAAAAAATGTCAACGAGTGTAGCAAATATCCAATAATCTCGTACGGCAAAGAGGTGGGGCTTAAGTCGTCTCATCTTTGTCAATAACAGTTTAAAGTTCCTGATGTTATTAATTTCTTAACCAATGAGAATCTATTCGCCGTTTGACAGGCGATAATTACTTAGCGCCAAGAATGCCACGCCTTATTGAAAGTCCAAGGTTAACTGACAATTGTACTACTTTGGGGCATGGGATTCTCAAAGCAATTCTTGAATTTTAATTACTTAATGTTACGTGAAAAGCAGGGGCCTGTTACAAAACTGCTTTGATTCTGCTTATAACTTTCTAATTTACATTTAATTGAAAATGGTTGTAAGGGCATGCGGATCTAGAGGGGTGGAGGGAGGGTTTTTCTTTCTGCGCTTTAACAGCGAATTATTTTAAATTTCACAAAATTGTTCTTAAGACATCAAATATTTGTCCTTATTTGTATCTATTTGTAGTTCATTCATTTGCATTTTTCTTCAATCTTAAGTTTAAAAATTGTACATCATGCAATCGTTTCCAACTTTAGATTGAAAATTATTAAAAGACACATGTATTCATGTGGATAGAGCGCTCACTAAATGCAAATTGCCCACGAAGTTTTCCAAGAGCCTTATTAGTTATTTATAGGTTTTTAGTACTGGTTCAGAATAGAATCATTATTTATATGCTTAAGGTTTGGACAGCTTTTACAGTTATCGATAAATCAAGGGAGATGGAAGTGTGTCAATCCTTGAAATTAGAAATTATGGTAACGGAAATTTTTGTAATTAATATTTCATTAAATAATGAAAGGAATCGTATGTAGCAAGCCATTTAAACGTTTACGGGCCCAATTTTACTGTCATGATTTATTGATACTCAATTTGAAGTTGAATATCATTACAAGAACAATTATAATATAATTAACAAATCATGGAAACATTTTCAATTTCAGATTGTAAATTAATAAATGCCATGAATATAATAAGTAATCAGGATCTTATTTACTGTTCTTCAGAAGATTTTTACAGATAAAAATTTATACCTACATATTCTTATATATAAAACTGATTTCCTACTGTTTGAATATCAACCCTCCCGTGATTTGAACAAATTTGAATCTACGCTGTCTGACGTTGCTTTTTATCAGTATCTCAGTGATCACAGTTTGCATCTACGTACATTAACTAATATGACTGATAAGGATTTTATCATTCTTGAGATGAATTTTTAGAAAGATTTATTTCTATTTATTTTAATTAAAAATCAATTTTAATTAAAAAGTTTGATTGCTCTGAAAAGAAGATATTTTAAAGATCTTAATTTCAATATATTCCTATTCACAAAAAACTTAAAATTCGATCGCTTACTTTGGCCCTTTCCTACCCCCGTAGGATACTTCTATATTCATATTCTTATAATGTAAAACTTTGATCAACTTCCGGTTGAGTGAAGTGGGAGGGGGGGGGGGGGTAGATTCATACTCTTTGATATTGAATTGAGAAAATGTGTCGCAGAAAAAGAAAAAGCTTTTTGCAAAGAAAAGTAGGAAACCACTTTGAGCACTGGACCAGGGGGTGGGGGCTTGTACCATAGCACCTAGGGAATTTGACGTCAAGTTGATATATTATACCAATTTTCAAACATAATTACGTCACGTGTGAATGGATCAGGATATCAACAACTACATCCTCAAAATGGATTTTCAGAAGCAAGCCAGAGACCATTATATTTTGGCCTGTCATTCACAGGCACTTGGTTCGGAAATTTTTATTTTACCCATAGTATAATAATAATATTATTATACTATGGGTTAAACATTTAATACCGAAACAAGTGCCTGTGCTGTCATTTCAATGTTATTGACTATACAGTCCCTTTCCCGATTAGAAACCTTCCCCATCTTTTGGAACACTGACAACATGTATATGTTCTTTCAATCAAACGATCAAAAGAGATAATACCTTTCTGAGATTTGAATTATTTTATTTAACTTTGATTGTGATCAATGACATTCCTTACATAGTTTTTTTTTACTTTGAAAGTCAAACACCTTAACTAAAGCAGAAACTGTGCTGAATTGATGATCAACATAATAAAGTATATAGTACGTAAGTGTTTACAATGGACAATGTTTTTCCCCAAAAGGTAAATAGGCGACACTTTACTACACTGCATTATCTTCTGGAGATGGTTTCATGGGATCTGTTTCTGACGGCTCTTCAGTTTTGGAATGCTTTGGGGTTTTGTACACAATTACAATATCACAATCTCGACTTGTCTTCTTTTCACATTTAGTGAGATTTTCTGGTTCACAATCAAAATCCATTACTGGCCATGACTGTTCAAAGTTACTCACTTCTTCGTAAAGGAAACGTTTAAATGTGAAAAAAGTGACACATTCTGGGTCGATACAATTCGAATTGGTGCTATTTTGGAAGAGGAAATTGCTTATTATCCATGGCAGAAATCCTCCAACCAGCGTAGCCAACATCTGACTAACTCCGGAAACTTCATACTGGTCTCCAAACGCACTGACGACTAGGAAAACAAACATCAAAAAGAGCACAATTAAAAGAAGTCGTCGAATGGCTTTCATGAAGTTTGGAAACAGGTAGCCTGGACATCCGTCTACATCCATGTGAATAGCGTTGAAAAAGAAATTTTTAGAGATTCGGAAAGCATTTCTTTTCTTGTCGATGAATATGAACACATTATAGATCTTCCATCTTAGTTCGTTATCCCTTATGTTAATGTCAGGGGTGGTTTCATTTATGTCTCCCATATCTTGAGCTGTAAGAGCCACATTCTTGTCACATATTCCTAGGTCTTCAACTTGCTTGTCTTCAATTTTTCTCACTGCGTTGATAAGTGATTCGTTGAATTTCTTGTAAACTCGAGTCACCTCTCCAAAAGTGTCACGTGTATACAATGTAAGCATAAGAAAGAGTGAAACATACTTTAAGGTAACTTCAGCGTTCAATATAACACCAACTGCCGTGTAAATGATGACTTCTACTGCGAAGGTAATGCACTCAGCAGCAAGGAAAAGGAATGAGGAGAGAGTAAGCAGGCACATGCTGACGACAAAAAATTCAAATAAACGTTTTCTCCAGGGAAGTCCAATGGGATTTTCATCCGAGTCTCCCAAGCTCTTTCTGAAAATTTTCTCTATAAAAGGAAACGATGGACAAAGATGGGCAGACCAGTAAAGGATTAGTCTGATAAAAATGTTGATGGTCGGCACAAAATAGTACAATAACATAGGCAATAAACTAACGATCATGATTATCCAATAAAATGGCATGAGTGGTATCGCAAATAATCCAATCTTCTCGAGGGGAAAAGTCAATATTGTTAGCATCCATTCAAAAGTCGAGTATCGTTTATAAGCGTCCATGTCATTCAAACTTTGAGTTACAACCCTTTTAAATTTGTAAATGTATTCCTTGAAAAGAAGTCCTAGAAAGAACGAGTCCAGAACGATTATCAAGTAACAAACGATGAATACAACATGGACTGGTGTCAGATATCGAAGAGCAAAGCTGGCTTGGGCGTAGTACACGTCTATTCTCCTTATGCTGGCGGCCTCTTTCATGTCGGATAATTCTCTTTCCTCGTAAGTATAGTACAGAACAATTCGAATGACCCAAGGAACGATTGCCAAAAGAAGAAGAAAGGTGTGCATCAGACGACGCAAGCAGGACTGCCAGCTGTATTTCTGGAAAGGTTTCATTCTCGATTTGCAGCAGGAATAGATCTGTTCTTCTTTGCTTACGTTACATAGGAAAAGTCTGTCATAACATGCTCTAAGCAGTCCAACAGGTGCGCTCGATGTAGATAAAAGTTTATCTGCAGGGACGTAAAATCTCAGTTTGGATACTGTTAAAGAATACACTGTGTCCATATCCATGCATTTTGAATCAAGTAATTTATTAAATTTTGGCATGTATTGGTTCGAAATATTTTCAAAATGTATCACATTATCGGATCCAGATTTAGAATTTGTTGTCTTTTTCACCAATATAGATTTTGGAGTTTTAAGTTCGTGTTCATAAACCATTGGTTCTCTTTGCGATTGGTAGAATGATGTCGGCACGAAGTATGGACTGAAGAAAATAATCACCATGTTTAATGTAAACACACAAGTAATGATGGCAATAATCCATATATTAGGTTTAAGATGTCCACAAACTAATTCCAGTTCTTCGTTCACGTGACAACACTCGTAATGAAAGTAGCCAAAGTAGTATTCGCCTTTAGAGTCAATGTGGAAATTACAAATTTCTTGATTGGTATTCCCAACGAATTTTTCGGTTTCATTGAAGATTATACCTCTAGCGTCATTGAGCAGAAAACGGCGCAAATATTCCTCAGCATCATGGATATCCATCGACGACAAGCATTTCGTTGGATTCTGGGTCAAGGTGATATTATACATATTTTCCACTTCATAGTTCAGGGTGTTCATGGACAAAACATTGTAAGCATTGTTCAGCATCATTAGTCCGCGTCCTACTTTTCCAGTGCTACGGGTCCAGCGGAGGGGTTTATAGATGACAGACTGCAGTTCACCAGGGAAGACACCCGTATGGCCGATCACCGTCAGATACAGGTGTATCAATCTTGCTCCCGAATCCAGTTTTTCCTTAATATCCGCACTTAACTTCGGGGATGTTGGTGTTAAAGTACATTGGGAAAATCGCCTTAATTTCTCATTAAGAGTCTGTGATGAAACATTTATGACATCTACCTTTTCTGTCACTGTTTCGTTCTGTTTGGCAGGCTGTATCGGTAATGGATGCACTAATTTTAAAGTAAGAATATACCCCAGAAGTATGCACCTTGTCAAACGGCACATCATGTAAACGAACAGATAGTAGATGAATCCTAATCGAATTTGAGCGTTATACTGACATTGAGGAGTTTACACCCGAATTTATACTTATCTAATTTTTAGTGAGTAAATATCCTAGATTGAGATTTGTGACAAAGATGGACATGTTGAGTGACATTCTGAATTCAATCGTGCCATGCAAAGAAGCCGATTATATTGTTTGATATATATAATTACTTATTAATTATTTACTGATTTTATTGTAATAGCTCTAACAGTGACATCAAAAGAGGATTTCGTTTGATGTTCCAAGCCACCCGTGACCCTCTATAATTGTTGTAACAACACAAGACGTACATGTACAATTAAATATAATTATTTATAATATGTTTTCTTTTTAATTCAGATAATTGTTTTAGTGTGATTGGGAAATTGAAATCTTTTTTCTGATTATATCAAGAAATATTTGCATCGATAATTAGTCTAGTATTACAAAGAAACAAAATTTACTTATTTATCTTTTATTAAGT